TTTTTTTTTTTTCTCTCTCTTTCTTCCCCCCCTTTTTTCTCTCTCTCTCTCTCTCTCTCTCTCTCTCTCTCTCTCTCTCTCTCTCTCTCTGTCTGTGTTTGGTTGTCTTTCTCTGTATTTAGTGTTGATTTTTCTCTTTCCTGCTCCTGTACAGACTCTCAAACGGCTGATTCCTGACGAGGTAGGTGCACACACGTTAACGTTCTTCCCCGTCTCTCTGTCCCCTCACATCCATGTAACACCACTGTCCTCATGACCTTTAACCTTTCACTCCTCACCATGTGTCTGTAGCACACACATTTCCTTGCGTCCGCCGTCACCCGTCTGATCACGGCTGACCTCAGATCAGTGTTTCTGTGTGCCGTCCTGCTGACAGCAGAAACTGATCTGACGTCAGCATTCAGTGACGCCCACACACTCACTCACTCCTGTCACAGCGAGAGGAAGCGTTTTCATGAAACCAAATGGCTATGAATTCATATCTGTGTCAGCAGGATCATGAAATGAGGAACGTCTACACAAGAATTTGTAAAATAAGAGAACAGCTGCTAAGAATATAAATATTAAGCAGCATGTATAGTGCTTATAGAATATAGTTTCAAATATTTTTTTTCTCCAATATTGACCCAGTCAGACCAATACCGATGAAATAATATCAGGATTCATTCATTAACTAATTAGCTTGCTTTATTTACTAACAATATTTATTTATTTTCTCGCAAATTATTTACTAATTTACTTTTTAAAACTTCAGTTACATTTTTATTTTAGTTACTTAATTACTTTTATTTATTTTTGCTCAGTAAAAGTTTTTTCTTTGCCTGCATTCAAATGGGTTATTTGGATCAACAATATTTTACAAATCTGTTAATTTATTAAATATGATTTTGTTTTTTTAATAATGAGAAATATTTTGGGATCTATTAATTTATTTTAGAAATGAATACATTTTAATAATATTAACTAAAAAAGTCATATATAATTATTCATGATGAATTGATGTTGTTCAATGTTGTGTAAATTGTTGAAAGAAATATGAGATTATCATAGGACAAATGATCCAGAATTTCCTCAGACGCCTTTTGTTCTTGTTGATTGACAGACTTGATGAGATAAAAATATAAAGATAATTAAATTTGAGATGATTTCAGTTTACTGTTCCCAGCAGAGCATGTTCTGTCAATTAAACTCTGTTTCTCTGTTGAGAATGAAATACTAGCGTACTGTTTACTGCACATTGCATTCTGAGATTTAGTGAGTTCTGGTTATATTTCGCATCTTTGCCAGTAGGACATTTGGGTCCATGCATACAAAAATTTAGCAAACTGTGCATGTAGGATGTTAGTATGTCATTCTGAACATGCAGTGATTAACAAGATGCAGAGTGTAAAATCCTCTTGTGTGTTTCTGCTGTGGTCTGTCTGAGCTTTGACCTTTGACCCTGTGTCAGCTGGAGCGCTTCACCAGCATGCGGACGAAGAAGGAGAAGGGAGGCACGATGGGAAACAGACACTCGTCAGCCGCCCAGTATGAAGTGCCGTCCCAGAGTGCCTCGCTGAACGAGCTGTCAGACGAGTCTGTGCTGGAGCTGTTTGAGCAGATGCTGGTGAGTGTGTGTGTGTGTGTGTGTGTGTGTGTGTGTGTGTGTGTGTGTGTGTGTACCTGCTTACCCATATTTTGGGAACAAATGTGTACCCATAAGTGAGCTAAACCTGTAAACCTGTCCATAAACCTCATTTTGGGCCCATTCCCATTTATAAAATCAGTAAGGACAGATTTTTTAGAATTGTAAAAATGCAGTAAGTTTTCTGTACCATATTTTGGGAACAAATGTGTACCCATAAGTGAGCTAAACCTGACAAAATCTCCATAAACCTCATTTTGGGCCCATTCCCATTTATAAAATCAGTAAGGACAGATTTTTTAGAATTGTAAAAATGCAGTAAGTTTTCTGTTAGGGTTATGGTTTGGATTAGGGTTAGGTTATAATATTTAATATTTAATTTCTGACACTTTTGAGTGTGTGTGTGTGTACGCATTTTTGTGACAAATGAGGACATAAATTTGTATAATGACAAAGGTATGACATAGGTATTACAAGGAGAAGGTGACTTTTCAGGACATTACGCCATGTCCCCACTTTTCAAAACGCTTATAAATTACACAGAATGGAGTGTATTGAAAATCATAAATAGCACAAAGTCTCATGTAAGGGGTAGGTTTAGGGGTAGGGTTGGTGTAGGGCAATAGAATATACGGTCTGTACAGTAGAAAAACCATTACGCCTATGGGATGTCCCCACTTTTCACATATGTAAACCTGTGTGTGTGTGTTTGCCTGGTTTAAAATATACCTAACAGTTATTGGGTCAACACTTTTTGGCGTATCTATTAATTAATTTTTTTAAAATATGATATAAAAAATATAAATATATACATAAAAATTATATTCACGATAAGCACACTTTTTGGTTGGATCTATTTATTGAAAAATAAAAATAAATGTTAATTAATTATTTCATGCTGAAAGTAAATACATTTAAAAAATACAAATTGTAAGTTCATAACATTCATGATAAGCACACATATTTTGGGGGATATTTAAAAAATATAATAAAACAATTAATATGAATTAAAAACTATTTTTCATGATATATTTAGGCTGTATGTATTAATGACAGACTTCTCCCTTCTGAAATCTCTTCTCCCTCTCTCTGTCTGTAGGTGGATATGAACCTGAATGAGGAGAAGCAGCAGCCGCTGAGGAAGAAGGATATCATCATCAAGAGAGAGATGGTGTCTCAGTACCTGCACACCTCCAAGGCTGTAAGAACATGCTCTGTCCGGCCGTCCGTCTGTCTGTCAAAGTTTAGTCTCAGTTGTTTATTTCATACATTAAGTGATTTATATGTATATCATCATATAATAAGTTACACACATCTACTGCTCTAAACACACTCTTTCAGTCCCAGCTTTGATGTCCAGAGAGTGTGTGTGTGTATGTTAAATCTCACACACATTCTGTCTGAATCTGAATCCATCGGTGAATCTCAAAGGTGATGAACATGATCAGGTGCTCTTCCTGTGGTGGTTTCACACTCTTCCTGTCACACACACAGGATGTGGTTCATGCTGCTCTTCATAATCTGATTTCTTAGCGCTGACATTTCATTCTATTGCCACAGGACTAGTTTGAAATTGTTTTACTAGGATCATTTTTATTTAATTTATTTTTTACTTGTCTAATATTTACTCAGTCAGACCAACACAGATACAATAACATCAGGACACATTTATGTAATATATATATTTTTAACTTTACTTTTTTCTTTGCAATGTCAGATGTAATAAACAGTTATTTGGATTAACTTTTTTTTTTTTTTTTTTGCAGATCTTGTAATTTATTAAATAACTATTATTATTATTATTATTATAAGCATATAAGCACATTTACAGTAATACAATGGAGGTCTGTTGGGCAAGATGTTCTGGAGGATTTAGAAGCAGAAATATGATATTCATCAGTATAAATTAGTTTTTTGAACAGTAAAATGTAATGTATATACTGTGTGTGTTGTAATTGTAAAAATGCAGTAAGTATTAATAATATATATAATTGTTTTTTTTTTTTTCTGTTAAAAAAAAAAGAACAAAAGCAATCAAAAAGTTCTGCTTAATGCATGCCATGTATATCAGATTCCAAAAATGAAGTACTTGTAATTAGATTAAATTACATTTTAAAATGCTCGTAATCAGGCTACAGTTACTTTTTTTTGGATTACATGATTACATATTATTCATGCAATAGCAATAAATTATTCATAATTTATCAATTCTCCTAATTCCTCTTTTTCATCTTTTAAATGTTCCTTTCTAAATTACCCTACCGCTTATATACACTCAAAGTCTTCCAGTTTTGTGGACGTTCACACAAAGACGAGTCATTAGTCAGGTGGCTATACAGTATGTGACCACTGGATTTACAAAAATCATTTCAAGTGTTTCAACGTTGCATCAACTACTGATGAACACATTAATATGTATCTGAATTATCACTCAGTAGGTTATTTAACCATCTATTTCAATGTCTTTAGAAGGCATTTGTCTTTCAAACACATTAAAAGGCACAAATTCACATTATTTCTTATTTACATGTAATGCAGGCATTCCCAAACTTTTTTTTTTTGTCATCTGAACATCTTTCGTCTAATATATTTACTTAAAGTACCCCTGAGATTTGAAAATAAATATTTAATAATTAAGTATCACATTTGCATGTTCACGGTTCTCTGACGTTGGTTAATGGTCACATGGCATGCAGGTAAACAAATAAAATAATTCATTTTTTTAGGAAGTGTTTTATTTCTTTTTATGTTATTTTAAAATTATTTTTTCTTTCTTTTTTTTATGTTGTTAATTTCAACGGATGGAATATATTTTCTTTTTGTATTATTATATCAATATGGTACAAGATTATCCTATTTAAAGCAATGTGATTAAGTGAGTTAGGTCAAAAGTAATCTAAAAGTAATCTGATTATATTACCTGAAATGTGTAATGTAATGGATTACATTACAAACTTACATTTTTGACATGAAATTTGGAATCCGTAACGAATTACAATTTTCAAGTAATCTACCCAGCTCAGCCTGATCATATCGTAAACTCATTTGACCCTCTGTGTGTTTAGGGTAAGAGTCAGAAGGAGAGCTCGAAGTCAGCGTTGGTGTATATCCAGGAACTGAAGACCGATCTGAGAGACACACAGTTACTGAGCTGCCTGGAGTCACTGCGTGTGTCATTGAACAACAACCCCGTCAGGTACACACACACACACACACACTTGCATTGAAGCGTCTCTATGTGTCTAATATCAGCTGATGGTTGTATGTGTGTTTCAGTTGGGTCCAGACATTTGGAGCCGAGGGTTTGGCTTTGCTTCTGACGTTCCTGAGGAAACTCCAAGACGAGAGAGACGAACCTTTGTATGACATACATACAGTAACACACACACGTTCATATTCTAGATCGTATATAAGAGTGATTCTTTATTGAGGGAACGTTTTAAGTTTTCTTTTAAACCAATATTTCATTCACATTTAGAGCTGTAATATAAACTTAAGATGCCATTGTAAATGTAGTTATAACTAAAGGGTTCTTTTAGACACGTAACCCTGTGAAGCCTGACATATTAAATAACAGTCAGAAAAATCTAATTATTTTTAATTGAACGGCTTATTGATCCTTTAGACAAAATATTAAAACAAATCTAAAAAAAATGTTTGCATATGTGTTTTTTGAGTATCTTATCTGATACATCCGGCTTTTACGGCTCATATAGCATGATATAGTGAGAAAAAACATCTCAATTTTATTCAAGGCCCAAACTGAGTAAAAATGTGCAATTTGGTGCAGATGCTGATATTTATATGAACAAAAAAATATGAAATTCTGATTGTAATGTAAGTTAATGAGATCTTTATAACAGTATAGCAGATACCTACATGTATTTCCAATAATACGTAATAGATGAGATTTAAATGCTTAATTTGATGATCAAAGCATATAATGCAATGCCAGACAATGATGATTGAGAGATGAACAAATAAACGTTCCTCAAAGAACTGACGATCATATTTGATACTCGTGATTTTTCATAAATGATGTCTGGATAATCAAGTGAAGCTGTAGGTTACTTTATAAAAATCAGTAAAGATTTGACAGCAGAAAGACACATGAAGCACGAGCTGAAGGTGGACGTTTGTATAATTATACATATAGGATTTTAATTCTATAAAGTCTAAACCATCAATCAGATGATGGAAGGCATTTAGTAAATTGTGTGCAGCAGGTTTTCAGCAAAGTTTTGATAATGTTGATCATTTAGAAGCTTTAAAAATTGCCCATCAGATATAATACAGTAGGATTAATAAAGGTAGTATTTTTATACTAATTTTAATGTATTGGCCAATCAGCATCTAGGATCTCAACTATCCATGATTTTAAAATGCTCCTCAAGCACATGATTATGTAATTTGTCTCTTTCACTCTCTGTTTTTCACAGGAATGCTGGGATTGGTGTTAAATGTCAACATGAGATCATTCGATGTCTCAAAGCCTTCATGAACAACAAGGTCAGAACAGATCTGAGTTCATACTGAATACAGACTGTGGAAACTGTTATTAACATCTATCTGTCTGTCTGTCTGTCTCTCTCAGCACGGTCTTAATGCCATGCTGACGTCAGAAGACGGAATCCCTCTCCTGGTCCGATCCATCAATCCAAAAGTCCCGCACATGATGGTGGATGTAGTCAAACTGCTGTCCGCTATCTGTATCCTCGAGCGTCCAGGAAACACGTGAGTGTGAAGCTGAAAGCAAAAGCAGTGTTCACGTACTCAACAGTGTGTTCAAATGGCGTTTCAATAGCCACACAAGCTCATCAAGTGCTAATTAGACACCCAAGAACAGAAATCATGTTCACCTGAGGAAGTTACCATAGCAACAGTCCTTTAGGATCAATAAAATCATTAATACTGTCCTGTCACTATTTATCTTTTTAATGTAACGTATAGAGAGGTAAGACAATAGGTTTTCACAAGTATTTAACAAATAAAACTAGTGTTTGTTTAAAAATTGGTCATCAATGTTATTTTAGTATCATAAATACACTATTCTGCATTTGTTTAAAGTTTAGTATGAATTTTATTTTTATATTTTTGTAATATTTTATATGATATTTTCTGTTTTCATTTTAATTGCAGTTAATGTTTTAGTAGTTTTTTTCTCTCATTTTTTAATGTCTATATAGTTTTTTTTTTTTAAGTTTAGTTTAGTGCTGTCAAATTGATTTGATCACAGTCGCATCCAAAAAAGTTTGCGTTTATGTAATGTGTGTGTAATGTGTGTATTTATAAATACACACACACACACACACATGCACGTGTGTGTGTGTGTGTGTGTATATATATATATACAGTGGGTACGGAAAGTATTCAGACCCCCTTAAATGTTTCACTCTTTGTTATATTGCAGCCATTTGCTAAAATCATTTAAGTTAATTTTTTTTTCCTCTCACTCACTCACTCACAAACATGTATATATTTAAGAAGTATTTATACACGCACATAATAATTTTTTAAATTTTTAGCCGACTGATAATTCCTTTCATATTTTCACATTGATTTTGGTATTTGAAGTAAAGATGGAATATAATAAAATGCAAATATTAGACATTATGAAACATCATGAAAATACTGAAATAAGTTTGAATACTATAATTACTAAAGATTAATTTAAGTTATATAGAAAAATAAAAATCGAGTAAAAATGCACACACAAAATTAACACTTAAACTAAAATGAAAAGGAGAAACATGTATATAAAGACATATAAAACATTTAAAAACAACAAAGCCAATCATTTCACACGTAAAAACATGAAAACAAATGAGATGTAAGTGCTACAGCAGAGAGGGAAGTTTGGAAGATGTTGTGCAAGACAAACCTTAACAGATTACACTTCAAATGATCCACAAAGTCATTTTAAGAAGTGTAAGATGATGGACTGTGTGTGTTTCAGGCACGAGCGAGTTCTGGAGTGCATCACTGAACAGGCTGAAGAGCAGGAGATTGAGAGGTTCCAGCCGCTGCTGTCCGGCATGCATAAAAACTCCATCACGCTCAAGGTAAAACACTCGCATGTGACCGAGAACACAGGCTGCTGATGTGAAGTCGTTTCCCTGATGTTATGTGTGTGTGTGTGAGCAGGCCGGCTGTATGCAGCTGATCAACGCTCTCATCAGTCGAGTGGAGGAGCTGGACTTCAGGATCCACCTCAGATCAGAGCTCATGAGACTGGGTCTCAGAGACCAGCTGAAGGTCCGGACACACACACTTACTAGACAAACATAGCACAACAAAAACGAATATGCAATGAATGTGACTATAGTTAAAAATTAATAGCAATATTATCTTTACAAAATCACAAGAACTCTAATTTAAATATTTGCATTACTGTAGTGGTCAACAGGAATATTTATCTAATGTTAGAATTTTTATATTGTTGCAAAAGGAAATGTGCTGAAACACTTTTGAGTCACTCAAATGGATCAATGAATTGGTTTTGTAGAATTAATCATATGACCAGTATTTTGAATTAGTTTTTTTCTATTTTTAATTTAAATTTTAGTTAAAGGGATAGTTTACCCAAAAATGAAAATTATGTCATTAATTACTCAACCTCATGTCGTTACAGACCCCTAACGGCATGAGGGTGAGTAATTAATGACAGAATTTTAATTTCTGGGTGAACTATCCCTTTAATGTTTTAGTAATTTTATTGCGAACCAAAACTTAAAAAAAAAAAATATGACAATAGCACACAACAAAATTGCTAAAACTTTCAAATTAAAACTGAAAATATAAAAATAAAATTTCTAAATATTAAGAAAATCTATAATAGTATCTCAATTATACTAAAATAACCTCACAGTATGTATACGCACTGTATAATGTGTCCAACAATCATTTAGTGTTTTTTTTTTTTTACTTAGTTCATCACATCTTGTTGCTGTCTAACTCAGGGCTGTCCAAACTCGGTCCTGGAGGTCCGGTGTCCTGCAGAGTTTAGCTCCAACTTGCCTCAACACACCTGACTGGAAGTTTCTATGCCTAGTAAGAGCCTGATTAGCTGGTTCAGGTGTGTTTAATTAGGGTTGGAGCTAAACTCTGCAGGGCACCGGCCCTCCAGGACCGAGTTTGGACAGCCCATGTCTAACTCATCACTGATTTAGATAATGGCACAATAAAAATTTCAGTTTCACTTAAGTTCTCCATCTGTATGTGTGTGTGTGTGTAGGAGGTGAGATCGATTGAGAACGAGGAGCTCAAGGTTCAGTTGCAGGTGTTTGAAGAGCAGGCTGATGAAGACTCTGAAGATCTTCGCTCACGGTTGGACGATGTCCGTCTTGAGATGGAATATCCTTCACTGCTGACTTTAATCATCTGTCTGAGACACTTTTTGAAGAGCCCTGGGTTCAACGCTGGGCTTTGTAGACTTATTTACTTTGTAGATTTTGTTTTCCTGTATGGGGTTGTAGTTCAGAAACTGGCCACCAGGTGTCTCAAAAGTGCAGAATCATTATTACAAGCTTAGACGATCCTTCAGCTCACAGAGCATCTTAGTTTACACGCTATAGAGCAGGGATCCTCAAATCTGGCCCACGAGATCCACTTTCCTGCAGAGTTTAGCTCTAACCCTAATCAAACACACCTGAGCATGCTAATCAATGTCTTCAGGATCATTAGAAAAGCACAGGTAGGTGAGTTTGATCAGGGTTGGAGCTAAACTCTGCAGCGCATTGGACCTCCAGGGTAAGATTTGAGGAACCCTGCTATAGAGGGTCATATCACAAAAAACAGGATTTTGCCTTACTCTTTAAATTTTTTATAAATAAATAAAAAGTAGACGATGAATACAAAATATAAAGAAGTGCAGAATATGCAGGGGTGCACGTAAGTGGTACGCTGCGTGGCCAAAATAAATAAAAAAATGTGCTGTGTAAATAAGTTCAGACCGCTCATTTGACAGCTGTTAATGCACAATTACCATTTTAGATCGACAAACTGTAATACTCCATAAGATTTCTATTCGAGCCGAATGCATAAGTCTAGGCTATCCACTGCAGTTTTCAAAACACAATGCAAAACTGCGACATTTCATTCCCTGGTGCTCTTCAGTCGGCAGCCCATATACTTACTGCCGGCAACCCACCAAAATAAAAGCTTGCTGATTTTAAGTTATAAAATGATGAAAATTCATATATTAAAGAAAGAAAAAAAAGAGTAAATGTTAGCATTTTATTTTAAGTTTACTATAAAAAATAATTGTACTTTTAATTAATACACCCTTTTTATTTTAAAATATAATAGTATTTTCACACTTTATTATTTTATTAAAAAGAAAACTAAATATAGTGCAATATTATTATCACTATTATTAATTAGTTTTTTTGTATAGTTATATTTACTATGTGCAGTGTGAGGACCAAACCGAATCTTCAGGTGCTCTTATGAGAACCAGCCTGAAAAAACGTATGTGCACCCCTGAGAATATGGATTTTTAAATCTAATTGTCACGTTTTGTCCACCGGATAGCGTCAGAAATTCTAGGCTGGATTTTGTGTGTTTGTCACAACCAGTCTAAATCATTCACAAAAGATAAACGGCAAGAAACAAACAATTTAATTGAAATTTATTTGAAAGTTGCATCATTTTATAGTCTTAGAAATGATCACAGTGGAGCTGAATGAAATATAGTTCTCTCATTAAAATAAAAATTCATATAATATGCACTGCAGGTGTTATTTTAGTGTTATTTATTATAAATAATAAGCTTTTATTGCTATTCTGAATAAGTTTGCATTTAATTTGTAGTATTTTTATGGGCATTTGCCATTTTTAATATGTTTAAAAAAATATTTTAAAATGATTTTTGTTTATTTTTAATTCAGTTTTGTATTTTTAAATGATTTTACTACTTCAGCAGAAACTTAACTTAATACCCCAGGCAGCATTTCTAATTTTCATCAAATATTTTTTTTATTTCAGCATTGTCTATTAGAAAGATTTTTTAATTTTTTTTTTTAAATAGGATTAATTTTATTTACCAATAACAAAACACTGGACAGATGTGTTTTCAGTTATGGAGAGTAAACGACATTAGACGTAACTGTTTGATGAGTTTTTGTTGTCGTTCTTTAACTCTGTGTCACTGATATGACTGAAGTCTTCCAGATCTTGATGAACACAGTGAAGGACTCTAAAGCTGAACCTCTCTTCCTGTCTGTGCTGCAGCACCTGCTACTGGTGCGAAACGACTACATGTCCAGGTATGAGCGCTCATCCTTCACCCTGCAGTGACCTTTCACCCTGTCTGAAAACTTCAGAAGTCACTATTGAATTTCGAGTGAGTTGATGCTGTCGAAGCGTGCTGCATTGATGAAACGGTGGTTGACATCTTGGCTGTCACATCGCTGACTGGCACATAGAAGCGTGAGCTTGAGAGGTTATTTGACTGTCAGTCACTGAGGTTACAGCTGTCAGCCGCTCTCAGGATATGTAAAATGGCAGAAAGTGAGGTTATTGTGTGGTTGCAAAGCAAGAAAAACACCTGTCCAAAGTTTGGACAGGTGAATGAAGAAAAAACTGAATTGAATAAAAAAAAAACACAACCAGACAGAATGCACAGGAGTCAGCCGCAATACAAAAGCTCTGTTTTAAAGCCCAGTGAGCTCTCTATCTGTCTGCTGTCTACATAGGCAATGTAGTAAATTAAATTGAACCTCATAAGTGACTGATTCTGAACCCTACATAGGCAACATAAACATTGTGCTGTTCACCAGGGTTATTATTGATAGCTAAAACCGTAAGGAAACATTTTCATTGCTTGAAATAAAACGGTTAAAACATTAATTGAAAATGTGTATTTTTTTTTTATTTCAGCTAGTTGCCAAGGCTACATTTCTTGTTTTCATTTAGTTTGTTGAAGTACTAAAATAAATACAAATAAAATTTAAGAAAAACTATATAGAAATTCTAAAAAAAATTAAACTAATAAATAGGGATGCACCGATATGAAAATTTTGGCTGATACCGATAACCGATTATTCTTTATTTTTGAAAGCCGATAACCGATATGTTGGCCGATAAATCTATGTCCAAATTGTTATATACTTTTTGAGAGCCTGATTACAAAAAAGGTCTCATCATTAAAAGCCACATCCCAAACACTTCAACATAAGCAGCCTAGTTTGAACGGTGTACGTTTTAAAAATATTTTTACTTTCCCATTACCAAATTTAGTCATAAAAAAGTTTTACAAATAAATAAAATAATGCAAACAAGTCACTGGACATCATTACACGTGTAAAGAATCAAAATCAAAAAATCAGACAATAATTAAATGATTTTAATTACTAAACCATATTGTTGATGAAAATAATAAGAGAACAATACAAGTGTCGATATATCGTGCATCCCTACTAATAAAAATGACAAAAGCATACAATTAAAATTAAAACTTGAACTAAAATTAAAATAAAATCTAATTCAGAATATTAACAAAAACTGTACTAGTATCCCAGTGATACTAAAATAACACAAAGTACGCAAGACTCAACTCCCATAAAGCTGGTTACTGTGCTACTTGGGCATAAAAAATACATATCACACACAAATGATATTGATACTTTCCATTATTGAATGAAATATAATAAACACTTTTCTCTTCATAAGTTATCTTAGATAATAATTTTACTGTTCTCAGGGATCGTCTTCCTCGTGAAGGATGAATTTAATCGAAACGAGGCATCTTGGAAAGTTGTGTAATTCTACTCTTTACCTGCTTAACCCAGCAGCGTTTGAGTGGCCAGCTGTAGACGGGTCACTAGGTTGAGAACTGAGCTAATGTCTTTATTTAGTTTAATTGTTGCTGAGGTTACAGGTGTAACTGAGTTAGAGAAGAGGACTGATTTTGGTGTCCCGTCTGTACAGACATTATTGGATCTGCTCCAGTAGTGTGTACAGGACAATTGAAGAGTCACATCTGATAGTAAATGCAGTCAATCCCAAACACTGACTGTTTGAACGTAACCAAAGGAGAGTCAGGGAATGATTTAAAGCGATAGCACAACCTAAAATAGAGAATTGTGACAGTATTATTTATATGCTATTATAGTATTTATTAATATTTTGATTTAGTTTTCTGTTTATATATTTCCATTTGAATTCTAAGTAGTAATTTTGTTATGTGCTTTTGCATTTTTAGTGATTTAAAATATTTCTAGTTTGTTTATTTTAACTTCAGGTTTAGTCATTGTTGTGCTTCAATTTCAACTCGTTTCAGTTAGGCAACATTTCTAATTTTCATTTAAGTTTTTATTTTATTTAATTTTTTATGAGTGAAATAGTTGTAGTTCTAGTTAACAACAGCAACAACAACAATGCATTTGCACAGCCCTTGTGTTGCCCCAAACCTGTATGACTGACTTCTGTTAAACACAAAAGAAGAAAAAGACTTGTTTCTTATGCAATTACAATGAACAAAGAAACTTTTAAGCCCCCAAAAAAGTATACAAAAGCACTATAAAAATATTTCATACAACTCCGGTCCTATATTACACATCTTCTGAAGTCATATGATAGCTTTATGTGAGGAACTGACCAGCATTAAGCTGTTTTTCAAAGAAAATCTCATTTTTTCTCATTGCATTCCTGAGTACTGATGTCCAATTTGTAAAAGTGTTTTTGTCTGATTTGGATCTTTTCAGTGAATCGGTTGATTTGGTTCACAATTTTGCTTCATTTGGTTGTGAATTAGATCATTGAGTCAGTGAAAACCAGATCAATTACCTTATCAATTACAAAATCAAACCTTACTGGAGGTGAAGGGTTTCAGTTATTATAACTTGTATTTAGTTAGTATTTTCTGTTTTCACTGCATGAGTCATATGGACTGCTGTTCAGATGCTTTTACCTCCATCTCTATTCATTATAACACCATGAAAAAGAGCAACCAGTACAGTCTTTTCAGTTTTCCTTTTATGTAACACAAAAGAAAAAAGTCTTACAGGTTTGGAACAAAATGAGGCATGTTGATTATTTTTTGCTGAACTGTCACTTTAAAAGACGATCGTAGTTATTCTCGTGATTGAGTTTGAGTTTATGGATAAAGTAAGGAAACAGGAGAGATGGATGCAATGAGAGACGAGGAGACGTTTGATTGATGGACAGATGCGGTTGCCGACGGCGACCGGCTCTAAATAAGAACCCAGCCACTGTATGACACCCCCCCGCTTCAATTAACTAGCAGACGCACACAAGTATGTACACACTCACACACACACACACATAGTGTGTACATTTAAAGGTTTTCTTGGCAGAGAAATGATTGCAGCCCAGAAAAGACACATTTCTTTGATTTCTGTTTCTCTAACCTGCACATCTTAAGTCACCCACACACACACACTCTTATTCTCTCTTAAACAGACAGCCTTTCATACACACACACACACATGCACAGAGAACAGAAAAGAGCTGGTGGGAGTGTGAAAAGACACAGACAGATGGAGAAAGAGTGTGTGCATTTGTGCGTGTGTGGTGGTTTGTAAACGCTTTCAAGATGTCAGAATTGTTGCTTGTTCCTTGTCTGCTCAATGTGATCCGACAGGCAGGAAATTGGAGAGCCTGTGTCTGTCCTGAGCCTCTCTCTCTCTCTCTCTCTCTGTGTGTGTGTGTGTGTGTGTGTGTGTGGAATAGAATGCTAGTGTACTGCACAGTATATACTGTATACTATTTTTTTTAAGTATGTGGAATATGCGGGATGAACCAATAAATGTTTCAAACAGTACTTCACTATATGTTGATGTCACTACACTGCAAGTGTAGTAATTCATGAGTAAAATAGTTAGCATTTTTATTGTTAAAAGACTGTGATCTTGATTTAAACACCTATGCAATATCATTCCTAAATGACAACAATTCAGCTATGTCTATTAAACCTTTGACGTATACAATCATGCTGGAACATTCAAATCATGTTGTCAGTTTATATGCTTCAGTCTTTTCAACTACACAGTGTCATTATTTCTGTTACAAAAATTCAAATCATCACAGAAGTACTGGGATAAAATTATGTAGTTATGATGTAAACAATGCTGTCTATGGTAGCAAAAAAATAGAGTAAATCCCCTTTTGAAAGAAACTTAACGCTTCAAATACATATTGTATCATTACATCGTTAGGCCAGTAGGTGGCGACAATTGACTGTTAAAAATGAATTTATTGAATCATTCATTCAAGAAATTCATTCAAAACTGCTGATCCACCCAGTAATGAGTGAGTCATTGTATCATAAATTAAAACTGTTTTTAATTGTTAAAATTAAAAAAAAAAAAATCATATATGTATACACTACCGGTCAAAAGTTTGGGATCAGTAAGACTTGTAAAGTTTTTTTAAAGAAGTCTCTTATGCTCATCAAGGCTGCATTTATTTGATCAAAAATACAGAATAAAATAGAATAAATCTTGCAAAATGTTATTACAATATAAAATAATGGATTCTATTTTAATAGCCTTTAAAATATAATTTATTTATGTGATGCAAAGCAGAATTTCCATCAGCCATTACTCCAGTATAAAGTGTCACATGATCCTTAAGAAATCATTCTAATATGCTGATTTATTATTAGAATTATCAATGTTGGCAACAGTTGTGCTGCCAAATTTATTTATTTTTTTTTGGAAACTGATACTTTTTTCAGGATACTTTGATGAATAAAAAGTTTAAAAGAACAGCATTTATTCAAAATATAAATCTTTTCGAACCATATAAATCACTTCTTAACAATTTAACACATCCTTGCTGAATAAAAGTTTTAATTTCTTTAAAAAAAAAAAAGAAACTTTTGAACGGTAGTGTATATTGTTAGAAAAGATTTATATTTTAAATAAATGCTCTTCTTTTTAACTTAACTCTTTATATATATATATATATATATATATATATATATATATACATAGAGGGGGGCAAAAAAGTATTTAGTCGCACAATTGGTGGCTGACTAAATACTTTTTTTCCCCACTGTATATGTATGTATATGTATGTATGCATGTATATGTGTATATATATATATATTTATATATACGTATATATTAGTATATAGTATATTTAGTACTTGGTTATATTCTAAACTTGTCTAAGCTTGTCAAAAAAGCTTTCAAACAGTATCATGAAGCAGAATAACAAACGCCTGTTTGACTGTAATCCAGGGTTTATGATAGTTTTGAGTGAGAAACATACCCAAATATAAGTTATTCACAAGCTTGACTATTTGTGCCGAGTTTGAATGTGGCAGAATGAGTGAGATTTGGTCATCAATGAATAGCAACTGTTGTATGACTTGAAGACATGAAATATAGAGCATGAGTCTTTTATTGTACTTTTAGGTCCTTTTTTTTTTAGAGTATGCGACCTTATGGAGAACATTGAATGATATCCGAACTAACCATTTAATTGCAGAATATGAGCAGAGAAGGGAAATAAATGTTATGAGCGTCACGTAAGTAGGGAAATGAGCCAAGAGCTGAGAGTTTTGAGAAAGGAGCTGAGCAACAGAAGTGCGAGATGGAGCGGTTTGCAGGTTGTTCTCTGCTGCCATCAGCAGAATCGTTTCATGCGAGTTTCTCTTCAGCGATTAATGTGCTGACACACGGCAGAAAATGACAACGCCTCCATATAATTATCCTCCAAATATAACTGCAGCTCAAATCCCAGAGCGGCCCATCTGCCCACAAACAAACTCTCATTTCATCACTTTAATCACCAACGACAGAGAATTAATTAGGATTATTCTGATTTCTCCAAAAGCCCCTGGTTAAACCCAAACGAGCGGCTGCACTTTCACAAGGACACTAGGGGTCTCTCTCGCTCCACCGAAGAAACCGGGAGTTTGATGGAGAGGGAGGGCGAGAAAAGAGGGCAAATAAAGGGAAAAAGAAACAGCTTGGTGGAAAATGAAGAACGTATCGAGTTTGTTTCACACCAGGTCAAGATGGCGGATTTCTCACAAATGGACTGTCTGGAAAACCTCTCAAATATCACACGGCTTTTTAAAACCTCTTTCACACACATACTCGAAAAATATTTAGACCTAAATGTAGGATTTATGCATTTGAATGTCCATCCTTTTGGATAGAACATAAATGAGCTAATAAACTCAATGTGATCCAGATGTGTCAGTCACAAATAAACAGGTCAGATTTCTGTAACGACACTAATCAACTGAATGTGTTTTAAACACAATAACCAGGTTTATGTATTTGTCAATAAAACCCATTTGTTTCGGTCACATATATTTTAACAAATGAAATATTGTTTGTTCTACAGGTTTTTTTTTCTTCATATTTTCTGGTTTCATTTTAATTTGTAGTCATTTTGTTGAGTTTTTTTGTAATTTGTAGTAGTTTTTGTTGTTTTTATGGATGCCTATATAGTTTGGATTAAATTCTGTTTATGTTTTAGTTATTTTAATGCATCAAGTTAAACTAAATGAAAATTATAAATGTTGCCTCGGAAATTTACTTACAAAATTTGATTTCAGTTAACAATGTATTTCAAGTAATAAGTATTTTTTTATGTTTTACTTTATCTATAATAAGTCTTTTAACTGAATGTTTTCACAAAGATTTGTGCTGATTCTAAGAAAATGTGATCATTTAAATAATATAGATGCAGATAGCTAATAATAACTGCCTTGATTTCTTTTTGAGTGTAGAAATCTTTCCTTTTGTCTTACCTGTTTCATGTAAGACAGACAAATATGCTTCACATTAAGTTTATTTGTTTGTTTGTATTAAAAACTATAATTCAAAAGGATGGAAAATTTGTATTCACATACTTAAATCTTATATTCTTTGAGTGCACATGCATTAAAATGACATCCCACTACACACTTATACACAATCCCATGTGGGCTGTGTTTCAAAACTAGTGAGCTGCCTGCCTAGACAGCATTTCTGGGCATCGTAATCCAGTTTTGATGGATACGATTGTCTATAGTGTCTCATTTTGAAAGGTCACTGGAGGTCATCATGGACGGCTGGTGTGTGTGACCCTGTGCCAGTCAGTGTGATGAAAGTCTCTTATTTAATTTTATGAACTCTATCTCTGAAAACAATATCTCTGTTTGGCTTCTTTCTGTGCTTCAGAATCTCCTTACTGATGCTAGTTGAACACAGATTGACGTCTCTCTGTCTCTGTCTGTCTCTCAGGCCTCAGTACTATAAACTCATTGATGAGTGTACGGCTCAGATCGTTCTGCACAGGAACGGCTGTGATCCAGACTTCAAATGCAGGAAGTTTGACCTGGACGTGGACCATCTGATTGGTAAGAGACAAACACAAGACACTCTAATGCCACATTTAGCCACTGGGTGGCAGCGTTCAGAAACTTCCACAAAACATCAGAACATCTCAAATCCCATCCAGAATAATCCATAGTGACATTGAGAGTGCTCACAAACAAGCTCTTTAGGATTTAGTCAAAATAAGCTCATTTTGTCATTAGCATGTCGTGTTTGTCTGAGACGGCTTCTGGTTTGGCTCACATTAGCTGTGTGGGTCTGATGTTTGGCCTAAAGTTTCTCCAGGTTCACTCAAAAAATATTTAGGCCTAAGATTTGTGTATTTGAATCACAAAAATGTCAGTTTTAACATAAACTACTTATAACATAAGCTTAATACGATGCATATTTTTCAGTTTTCTGTTGAATACTAATAGCCATATTTTAACCATGTTCTTACTTTTTAATTGAATAAATATAATTGTATAATTAAATATATAATTTAATATAACTATAAATGTATACGGTTATTGAAAACTAACATTCTTCCTTCCATAATACTTCAATATTTATAAACTTCCTTCTTCCTTTCACATTTCCTTTTGAACTTCCTTGCAAATTTTCTTTCTATACTTCCTTCCATATTAACTTTCGTATTCCCATCTTTTCTGTCATACTTCCTTACTTCCTTTTGAACTTTTATGCATACTTTGCTCTGTATTTCTGAACTCTCTTTCAAACGTCCATCTGTTCTTCTATCCTTCCTTTCAAACTTAGTTCCATACCAATGTCCATATTTTCTTCTTTCCTTTTGAACTTACTTCCATTCTACTTCCATAATTCCATTACTCATTATGAACTCTTTCAATCTTCCTTTCCAACCATCCATCTTTCTTTCCAAACTTCCTTCCATACTGACTTCCATACTTTCATCCCACCTGTCATACTTCTGTACAGCCCTGTGCTTCCATACATCCTTTCCTCTGTACTTCTGAACTTCTTTCTGGACTTCTTTTTATCTTTCCTTATGAACTTCCTTCCATGCTACTTCCATATTTCCAGTACTCCTCTTTAACTCTTTCAAACTTCTTTCCATCTTTCCTTCCAAACTCTGTACTTCTGAACATCCTTTCAAATGTCCTTCCTTCCAAACTCTGTACTTCCATACTTCCCTGTTTTCTTTCATCTTTACTTTTAAACTTCCCTCCAAACTTCCTTTTGTACTTCCTTCTGAACTTCTTTTCAAACATAATTCCATACTTCCATTCTTCCTGTCATACTTCCTTACTTCCCTTTGAACAACTTCCATGCATACTTTGCTCTATACTTCCTTCCTTTCATACTTCCTTCCAAACTTCCTTTTGTACTTCCTTTCAAACATCATTCCATACTTCCTTAATTCCAAATGAATTTCCATGCATACTTTGCTCTCTGCTTCTGTACATGCTTTCAAATTTCCTTCCTTGCGAACTTCCTTGTATAATCTCCTTGGTACTTCACATTTTGCTTGCATACTTCCTGTTGTACTTCTCACTGCCACCTGTGATCTCATTATCATATCTCACTAGAAACCTCTCTCATTGGCTGCTGACGTCAGCGCTGACCCTCTCGCTGTCTGACTCACTGGTTAAACTAAGCTTTGTTCGCTTTCCTGAGACTCTTTTTGGGTTTTGACACCATGCATGCGAGTGATATTGATCTGGAGTTCAGAGAGATTTTAGGGTTTGAGAACAGACACAGAAGAGTTTTCCAGGAGCTTTAGATGTATGAATGTATGCTGCCCTTTGCGTGGTGATTTCAAAGACACTTTCGGGTTTCTTATTTTAGCATGAGTTTGAGATGGGATGAAGTGAGCAGCAGATTTTAATTAGATCGTTCAATAATCAGAGCACGAATCACAGGAGGAAAAGAGACTCGTCGCAGTGAAGGGCACTTTACACACACACCTCTAAAACGGTCTATTCACTCGCTGCCTGTCTCTCTTTCTTTCTAGATAACATGGTTGATAAGACCAAAGTGGAAATCAGTGAAGCTAAGGCCACAGAGCTGGAAAAGAAGGTATTGACACAGATAAACATGCTCTTGAGTCTGAATGAATGACACACAGATTTAAACTAAATCATTGTCTGCTGAAATGCATCGAACGGGGCTCCAATATCGATCAACAACAGCAGATTTACTTCGACACATATACACACACACACATGCAGCCGCTGCTCCCAGATGCCCCCCGCCATCTCAGCGTGCCTGTCAGTTGACAGATGTGTAATTTGAGAGGTGAGATGAGCAGAACGGAGATTTCCTGTCTCTTCCTGACATCTTCCCACCAAACTCACCAAAAACAGTCTACAATTACCCTGCGTGTGTGTTTGTGTGCCTTTATCTGTATGCATGTACTGTTGTGCGTGTGTGCATCTTGTGTGGGTTTCTAAAAAAAACAAACAAAAAAAAAACATATCCGGGTCATATTTCACTCCCAAATCCAAAAAAAAGAAGAAAGAAAATAGTCTATTATTATTACAATATTATATTTGCCCTCAAATTCTCATTACCATGATGCATCCTGTAGTTTTACTTTTTTTTGTGTGTCACTCTCACTAATGATTCAAATTAGATTCTCATTACTGTAATACAGTGTTTTCCTACTGTATTACAATTAAAAATGGCATATTTTATGTAATTACTTTTTTTTACACATTTTTTAGTTATCACCACAATTGCAATGCAATGCAGTGCAACAAATTCTACCATGATGTATAAATGTTACGTTATGTTTTTATTTTCACATTACATTAGTGACCATGAGATTTTTGTTCATGACACACATTTAACCTTAAAATTCTCATTACCATAATTCATCATGGTGTTCTACTTTAATTTTATTGTTTGCAACTCAATAATGATTCTTATTCAATTCTCATTACTGTAATGCAGTGTTTTCTTACTGTATTACAATTTAAAATGACCAATTTATGTAAAGATTGTGTGTATATATATATATATATATATATACACATTTTATGCATATATTACTGCAATGCACTGATTTTATAAGCTGAAAGGCAGTACAAATACAAAATACAGTTTAAATCTCTAATAAATCAGTGAATCGTTTATAAACAAATATTTCTTTAAACAAACTATAATTTTCTTTTTTACATTTTTGGGGATGCAATTTGACCATGATACATTGTTGACAGGTTTCCTGAGATTTACTCTTCTGTGTATAATAAAGTAAACACTGCAATACTCTCTGCTTTACTTCTACATTTGCGTGAGTGTGTGTCCTATCGGGCTTGTCAGGCGAGTGTTTACTCTTACTCTCTCTCTCTTCCCCTCCTTCCCTATCTAATTCAGAGTAATAGCAGTGTGTCGTCAGAAGAGTGACAGCAAACGACTCTCATTACTAACACATGGAGAAAGTGTGTGTGTGTGTGTGTGTGTATGTGTGTGTGTGTGTGTGTGTGCGTGCGCGCATATGACCCTTCCATTTCCGCTGCTGTCACGTAATTGCATGTCTGGCTTGCAAACACCCGCCGTCAATGTCACCGGAAATTGTCAACGTCTGTCTGTGTGAGGCAGAAGGACAGATTTTGTGGAAGTTTGCGAGGTGAATACTAAAATCCACAGAGACTCCATTTCGGCTCAGATTTGTTCTTGAATCCGTCCTCTGAGTCGCCCGTGCTGACAACAACAAACCCCCTTGATAGTGATAAACTGAGGGTCACTGTGTAAACACGGGTCACCTGACAGTTTATTGATAACACAATATATCACTTCGGTCGAATGAAGATTCATACTGTTTTAGCAGAATAGACTGTGCACAGTATACAAACACACTGCCCTGCTTATGATTCTGCATGCAATGCGCTTTAATTGACCTTCTGGATTACAGCAGAGAATTATACATGCAATGTAATGAGATCATGTGATGTGTAGCATATTGCGGTTTGAAATGTTTTTAGCATATTATTTATTTTTTAAATGCTGTATATAGTATGCACTACTGTTCAAAAAATTTGGTGTCAGTAACATTAAAAAAAATTCATACTTTTATTCAGAAAGAACTGAACTTTTAATCCACTTAAAAAAAACAATGTTCAATGCTCAGTGTTAAGTTTTCAACATTGATAATAATAAGAAATATTTTTTGAACTGCATATCCGCATATTAGAATAATTTCTGAAGGATCATGTGATACTGAAGACTGGAGTAATGATGCTGAAAATTCAGCTTTGATCACAGGAATAAATTACATTTTACAATATATTTACACAGATAACTGTTATTTTGAATTGTAATAATATTTCACAATATTACTGTTTTTGCTGTAAATTTAATCAAATAAGTGTAGTCTTGGTGAGGAGAAGACAACAAGCATAAAAAACATACAGACTCCAAACTTTTGAGATCTCAAACCATTCGAAAGGTTTTCGCTTAAATAACTTGTATTTGTCAGAAATGTGTTCTGTAATTCAGAGGTATGTGGTTCTGATGATGGATGCTCTGTTCTGTGTAGCTGGACGCAGAGTTGACGGCCCGTCACGAGCTGCAGGTGGAGCTGAAGAAGTTGGAGGCCGATTACGAGCAGAAGGTTCTGGAGCTGAGCACTGAAAAAGCGAACCTTGGGCAAGAGAAGAATGACCAGGAGAAAGAGAACCAGGGCCTGCAGTCAGAGATCAGCCAACTGAAAGAGAAGGTACAGGACTGTAACATCACACCGACAGGAAATTATGTCATTTCTGCCCTACATAACTTTGGCTCAACCAATGGCGTGAGTTTAGGGCAGGACTTCCTGTTCGTTTAAATTTGTTTAAAAACAATGGACTCTTTTCACATTACCGGGATTTTCAGAAGCAGAAACAATCTACAACAAATACTTTTTACATATATTTTATAAATAATTTAAATGTACAATTAGATTTTTTGCTTTCCCAATTGCTTCAATAGCAAAAGAAAAAAATCCACGGTAGCATTTCTCTGACTTTCCAACAGCATTAACCATTTTTCTGTAATTACTGTGTAATATTAAATGTGTAAAAATAACTGTGGAAACACTTCATCACAGTATATGAAAGGGGTTCATCATTTTTTTTTTTTTATTAAAGGGGTCATATGATGCTATTTTAAAGATCATTATTTTGTGTATTTGGTGTAACAGAATATGTTGACATGCTTTAATGTTCAAAAAACACATTATTTTTCAAATACGGTACATTATTGTAGGTCGTTTTCAACAAAGCCCCCTCCTTTGACAAGCGCAGTCTGCTCTGATTTGCCAGCTGACCCAGTGCATTGTGATTGGCCAAACACCACAAGCACGTGTCGGAAATGTAACTCCCCATACCATAATCGCTTCAGCTTTCAAAGTAAATATCAAGACAGTTAATAATGTCATTAGTTTTACCATCAGTTCAAGCCCGAAAGGGCAACAGAGTCGCGTGACAGACACAGTGATGATGCAGTACACAAGCCACGGTTAAGACAGCTGATGTGCTATGATTTCTGACAGGCAGTTTACTCTCCTGTGATGTGACCCTGTTCCCCTCACACACACACACAAAGGCACGACGTGTTACTCTGCGCTATGCAAGACTCCGCATTTGAACAGTCAGTAGCAAATACTTAAACTAATAACAAAAAATACTTACAGTCGCTGATTCAGAAGCGCCAGATTGTCATAGCAAAGTCGGAATTGACCCTTTTTTTTTTAGAAATAGCCTTTGTGCACAGCCAGCCTTGTTACTCTTCTAGGTTAAAAAGAACTGTCATCCATAAAATGTGTTGCACAAATTCGAACATCTGGGTTGTGCTGTTCTGTTGTAAATAAATCTTAACCAATGATTCCTAATTGCATCTACTTCCAGAAGGCCAAATAAAGTGCTTTTGCTTTCGCACTGAAACACACAGTGTCTCCCTGACATGGCTGCATCAACACTACTGCTGTTCCTGAAACCACGCCACCTTTCTTTGCGTGCACATTTGGGCGGCATTATGCTAATATTTCCACATAGTGACGTAGATATGTGGGGGCGTGTTAGAACGAGGCATTTTAGGTAGGCGGGGTTGACTCGTAACTTTTATAAATAATATCTCTTTGGATTTGAGACTTTAGTCTTTGCAACTTTACAGATCTTCTTTATGCACCAAGAGCTTGTAACACTCCAAAGAGAAAGGAAAACTTGAAATTGCAAAATTGCCAGTCAGTCCCATCAGGATTTCACATTTTTGTGTGCGTATGTGATTTTTGTTATCAAAATGACAGATTTTGTGATGGTAATTTCCAGAATTTTGTGTCGGATTGGCATTTTTTATTTTATAATTGGGACACCACATTTACTGCGGTATAGTGTTAATTTCGTTAACGAAAACTAAGACGAAAAATGTTCATTGACTAGCTTTTTTCCCATAACTAAGACGAGACGATGACGAGATGACAATAAGGTCAAAAAATGATAACAGTGACTGTATCAACATGCAATATCGTTGACGGAAAAAATAAATTAATGTACTTTAAAAAATAAAAACTATACCAAAATTTCTTTTTATTTTCGTCGAAAAAAGGAGACTTTTAGTTAATATTATTTTAGTTAATATCTTGTTATTTTTCTTCTTAAGTATATGTGTCTTGTGTCTTAATAAAATAATATTTAGGCATTTGTAGTGAAAAACAAGACAAATAACTGCAGTGTGGCAAAATAAGTTGTATTTCAAAGTACCAGACTGCTTCAATAAATCTAAAAACAAATTCAGCACACATTTTACAAAAACGCACCCAGATCAGACTCTCTGTTCTTCTATATATTAAAGGGGTCATATGATGTTGCTAAAAAAGAACATTATTTTGTGTATTTGGTGTAATGAAATGTTTATGCGGTTTAAGGTTAAAAAAACACATTATTTTCCACATACTGTACATTATTGTTTCTCCTCTATGCCCCGCCTTTCTGAAACGCGTAAATTTTTACAAAGCTCATCGGTCTGAAAAGCGAGGTGTGCTCTGATTGGCCAGCTATCCAGTGCGATGTGATTGGCCGAATACCTCAAGCGTGTGACTGAAATGTTACGCCCCTTACCATATTGTGATGCTGTGTCCTGGCGCGACGAGACAAAACCAATAAAACCCATTACAAAAGAGGCATTTGTAGTATCCAGTGGGGACATAAGTACTGATTATAATGACTTCTACTGTCTTTTTACGCGTTGCATTGCATCACGCCGCGTAAACATAAAACTATGTCTGCATTTGTGATTGGTGAAATGACAAACAACAAGTGCTACTCTACACTGCTCAAAACTCGCGTTTAAATCATTAGTGGCAAATCCTTTAAATATTAAAGCATACTTACAGTCTGTGAGTCAGAACAGCCAGCCGGCATTGTAGGCTACTCTCCCAGGATCAGGAAACAGTCCTCGTCCTCCGCAAAATGCGTTGCTCACATCTGAATATTTGGGTTGAACTGTTCTGGAACAGTGTTGTAAATACAACTTAACCACTGATTTCTAGTTGTATCCTCTTTTGGAAGACCAAACAGTTTCACACAGCATCTCCACGACATGGCGGCAGCAACAATACTACAGTGAGAATCAAAGTTACGCCTTCTTTCTTTGCGTGAACATTTGGGCAGTGTTATGCAAATCTTCCCACACAGTAGACATGTGGGGGCGCGTTAGAACGAGCCATTTTAGGAGGGCGTGGATGAGTCTTAACTTTTATAAAGAATATCTCTTTGGGTTTGAGACTTTAGTCTTTGCAACTTTAGGGAACTTATCTATTCACGAACAGCTTGTAACACTCCAAAGAGAAAGGAAAACTTGAAATCGCATCATATGACCCCTTTAATAGACAGTTCTTGACCAGAATAAACTGCAAAGTCGACCAGATTGTGTTTCTGTGAGACTAGAGAGAAGTATGTCCAGAGAAGAGAGTAAACAAATTTGAGAGAAGGAGAGATATTAATAGAACAGGAAGGACAGAAATGATGTTTGTTGGTTATCTAACACACACAGACGCGCTACAGATAATTACAGTGGAAAGAGATGAAGCGCAGCCGTCAGCAGAAGTTCAGATGTTTGGACGCTCCATCTGTCCATCCATATATAGTCTGAGAGAAGTTGCTGAGCTCAACCAACCCGCCACCTACAGATAAACAAGCATCAGAAACTTCAGCTAGAACCCCGTGAACTACTTCAGATTCTCTCTCTTTCTCTGGTGTGACATTAGCAGGCTGGTCATTTTTAATGAGTTCTGCCAAGTTCTGGGTAAATAAATTATGCTGCTAATTAGACATGAATTTAGACACTCCCTCATGTGCTTCCAACTCTGGCCTGACCTTCTTCTGTCTATCTGTCTCTCTCCCTCCATCAGTTAACTAGATTTTATGCAGAAACCGTGAGCGATGTCTTCCGTGCTATGGTGTTCTTGATTGTCACAATTTTATTGACAACTTAATTTACACGTCAAACTTGAATAAATATTAATTTGAAAAAAAAACCTAACACTAAATTATAGTGTAAGAATCGTTACAGAGGTGATTGACTTTTATATTATTGTCAAAAAGTGTTTTTAATGTTCATGAGTGTCTCCGTGTTCTCTTTTTTTCTCAAACTATCTCAAAGAATCCAAGACTGTACAGTAGTAAAAAAATAATAACTACAGAATATAAATTGTATATGTAATGTAAATTTCAATGGAACACAACAAAAATAGCATGACTTTATCCAATGACTTTATTCTTTATCCATTTCGATCATTTAATAGAATAAATAATCCAGAGATTATCAAAATAGTTGCAACTCATATTTAATATATTGTATTGTAATGTTTTTTATTATTATATCTATGTCTCTAAATAAATCTTTAATCTGTCCATTTTTTATTTTTTTAAATCAAAATAAAATTACTATGTTTGTTTATATAGACATGATGGACTTTTATATTATTTTCTAAATCGAGTAATATTGAGTATTGAATATTGATTTAAGCAAAATGTTATGAGCTGAATTGTATGGAAGCCTGTTTCCATGGTTTCACTTTGAGAAGAAAAGTTAGAATTGTAAGATATACATTTGCAGTTGTGAGGGGAAAAAAGTCACAATTAATGAAAAGTTGCAATTACATTTTTTATTTTGTGGTAGAAAAAAAGAATTGTGAAATGTAAACTCTGCAAATTCTGAGAAAAATATCAGAAGTGTGAGATATAAACTTGAAATTGTGAGAGTCAGAATTTTCATCTTGCAATTCTGAGTTTATATTTTGCAAAAAAAAAAAATCCAGGATTGCGAGTTTATATTGCAAGTTTTTTTGCAAATGTTAATTTATTTCTCACAATTCTGAAAAAAGTCAGAATTGTGAGATTAAAAAGTTGCAATTAATTTAACTTTTTTTTTTATTCCATGGCAAGAACACACGTCCATAGTATTGTCCTCAGTGAAAAGAAATGAAAAGTTTGTACACCTTTTGTGTTTCTTCTGTTTCTCAGATTGAGAAGCTCTCAAAAGATCTCAAAGAAGCCAAAGCGAAGGTCATCACCGTGCATGTGCCTGTGGCTCCGCCCCCCAGCCAATCAGCTTCCACTGTGCCGCCTCCACCTCGTCCTGGTGGAGTTTGCATCCCACCTCCTCCTCCACCAGGACAAACGGCCATGCCCCCACCGCCGCCACCTCCTCCTCTGCCCGGAGCACCTAGTCTGCCTCCGCCCCCTCCGCCGCCTCCTTTACCCGGAGCACCTGGTATGCCGGCGCCCCCTCCGCCTCCACCTCTTCCTGGGGCAGCCAGTGTGCCGCTGCCCCCGCCTCCTCCGCCTTTACCGGGCGCACCTGGAATGCCGCCTCCTCCTCCTCCTTTACCTGGAGCACCTGGTATGCCACCACCTCCACCTCCTCCACCCGGAATGGCCGGTATGCCTCCTCCACCTCCTCCGATGGGCGGTCCTGGGATGCCTCCGCCCCCTCCGGGCGGGTTTGGTGGATGGGCACCTCCTGTTCCTCAGCTGCCCTTCGGCCTCCAGCCTAAGAAAGACTACAAACCTGAGGTGCAGCTGAAGAGAGCCAATTGGAGCAAGGTTTGTATGTTTCCACACGTCTGCACCTCCTGTTTCAGCTAGAAATGATGGTACATTGGCCTCATCAGCATCACTATTGAGTCCAATGACTATTAGAGAGCTAGCTGTAGCTGTTTAATGCTCAAACTAAGTAATGATTCTAGAGGAGAATGGCACAAAAATGAAAAACAGTCGGACTTGGCACACTTTTATAGAACAAAATACATCAAAAAGCGATTCAAAAGCTACATAAAAATAGTAATAGTATAGTCATGGCCGGATTTACCATTGGGTTTGTGTGGGCTGCAGCCCATGGGCCCCTCCTTGTAGGGGGCCCCGCCTTTGCCCCTTTTACGTTTGTTTGATTTATTCGTTATATGCAGGGCCAGTGTTGTGCCGAATTCTGCACCCCTGCCAGATTATGCACCCCCTCATTGAAGTCGCTACCTGATGGCCTAATCCCAACCCCACCGCTAATCTTAACCCCTCCCCCACACCTACTCCTAAACCTAAACCTACCAATACTAGGGGGTGCATAATTTGGCAGGGTGCAAATTTCGGCACTACACCGGCCGTGGCATAGGCACATGACTGGGGGCGCCGCACAAGTTTTTTTTCTCGGAAGAGCGCCCTCTTGTGCCCATCGTGCGCTCCTATACCCATATATTAAGCAAATACTGACAATTAAAATTTTAGTACTGATCGATCATCGAACTGATTAAAATAAAATTGACATCAACGAAAAATCATAAGATTTGTCATGTTGGATTAATTAGCTATGCATGGCACACGCATAGTTTTGCCATTTGTGTGCTCTGAAATGATCATTTCTAAACAATGAGTGAAAAAAGAAAATAAGGGGCACAAGGCAGGATGCGACACAAAGAAGAGGAGCAAAAAAAAAAAGAGCACTATAGAGGTATAAATCACAAGTTAATCACTGTGTATTTGCCCTTGATGTTTATGTAGTCTTTTTAAATAGCCTTTTTAGAACATCTTAACTCTCTCTGGCAACAATGACACTGTGGAACGTTTTTCCTTGAGTTAACTGCTTATTTAATTTGACTCTATTTTCTTTCAAATAAATGTAAGCTTCTGTAATGCTGTTTTAATTTGAGTTACATTACTGCTTGCTTTTAATTCACCAAAAAGTGCACAAAATGTCTTTTGAAAGAGACCATTACTAGGACTAAAATATAGCATTATGAATTAAAATAATTTAAGTTTAAGTATGCCATTTTCCACTGTATGCACAAAATCTAATCTCGAAAATCTAAAATCTCGTTTAGGGCACGAACAGATCCTTGGTCGGCCCTGGTTATATGTCAGAATTCAGAAATTATTAGCCGCATTTCCACTGCGCACACAAGATCTAAACCGGCCAGCCGGGGCTACAGCTTACAACTACGACCTTCGATGCCACAATCAAACAGCATAAACTGGTATTTATGATTATTTCACATAGAAGAAGGACACACGTTGTGAATCGCGTCTGCACCGATTGGTTTGTTATCACATGGCTACTTTAAACAGCTCTATTAAGCTTTAGCCCCAAAGAGCGCACATTTAAAAGATGATAAATTCTCAAATGTTCACTCCTCATTTCTTTACAAAGCATGATTCTATATTACTATATTAATGTTCCACTAAATTATGCCATCATCTGATGAGTTTTGAGCTCTCTGTTTCGTCTTACTGCCATTACACATAGTGGGGAAAAATGTCATCAAAATGGTTTTAAATAAAAAAAATAGCAATTTAATGAGTTTCTGTTTTTATAACATAGACCTTTAAATTTAAGGCATTGTCTATGCCTATGATATAGGACTATTAGCCTATTACACAAACAAGAGTCCTGTTTTTTTTCTCCCCGAATATCTGCACGATCGCAAATGTACAATAAACAACAACTTACTTAATAACTTACGTTTGTTTGATTTATTCGTTATATGCAGGGCCAGTGTTGTGCCGAATTCTGCACCCCTGCCAGATTATGCACCCCCTCATTGAAGTCGCTACCTGATGGCCTAATCCCAACCCCACCGCTAATCTTAACCCCTCCCCCACACCTACTCCTAAACCTACCAATACTAGGGGGTGCATAATTTGGCAGGGTGCAAATTTCGGCACTACACCGGCCGTGGCATAGGCACATGACTGGGGGCGCCGCACAAGTTTTTTTTCTCGGAAGAGCGCCCTCTTGTGCCCATCGTGCGCTCCTATACCCATATATTAAGCAAATACTGACAATTAAAATTTTAGTACTGATCGATCATCGAACTGATTAAAATAAAATTGACATCAACGAAAAATCATAAGATTTGTCATGTTGGATTAATTAGCTATGCATGGCACACGCATAGTTTTGCCATTTGTGTGCTCTGAAATGATCATTTCTAAACAATGAGTGAAAAAAGAAAATAAGGGGCACAAGGCAGGATGCGACACAAAGAAGAGGAGCAAAAAAAAAAAGAGCACTATAGAGGTATAAATCACAAGTTAATCACTGTGTATTTGCCCTTGATGTTTATGTAGTCTTTTTAAATAGCCTTTTTAGAACATCTTAACTCTCTCTGGCAACAATGACACTGTGGAACGTTTTTCCTTGAGTTAACTGCTTATTTAATTTGACTCTATTTTCTTTCAAATAAATGTAAGCTTCTGTAATGCTGTTTTAATTTGAGTTACATTACTGCTTGCTTTTAATTCACCAAAAAGTGCACAAAATGTCTTTTGAAAGAGACCATTACTAGGACTAAAATATAGCATTATGAATTAAAATAATTTAAGTTTAAGTATGCCATTTTCCACTGTATGCACAAAATCTAATCTCGAAAATCTAAAATCTCGTTTAGGGCACGAACAGATCCTTGGTCGGCCCTGGTTATATGTCAGAATTCAGAAATTATTAGCCGCATTTCCACTGCGCACACAAGATCTAAACCGGCCAGCCGGGGCTACAGCTTACAACTACGACCTTCGATGCCACAATCAAACAGCATAAACTGGTATTTATGATTATTTCACATAGAAGAAGGACACACGTTGTGAATCGCGTCTGCACCGATTGGTTTGTTATCACATGGCTACTTTAAACAGCTCTATTAAGCTTTAGCCCCAAAGAGCGCACATTTAAAAGATGATAAATTCTCAAATGTTCACTCCTCATTTCTTTACAAAGCATGATTCTATATTACTATATTAATGTTCCACTAAATTATGCCATCATCTGATGAGTTTTGAGCTCTCTGTTTCGTCTTACTGCCATTACACATAGTGGGGAAAAATGTCATCAAAATGGTTTTAAATAAAAAAAATAGCAATTTAATGAGTTTCTGTTTTTATAACATAGACCTTTAAATTTAAGGCATTGTCTATGCCTATGATATAGGACTATTAGCCTATTACACAAACAAGAGTCCTGTTTTTTTTCTCCCCGAATATCTGCACGATCGCAAATGTACAATAAACAACAACTTACTTAATAACTTTCAGACACAAAATTCCGTTTTGCTCCGTCAGAAAGAAAATAGAACAAACAGCAGAACCGCTGCGTCTCCAAACAACAGTGTTTTGTTCCTCAGCGTTACACGGACCAGTAAATGATTCAATCAGGCTATAAGTACAGTCTTTTGCAAAGTTAAATGAATCCGCTTTTTAAACAAACTGGTTGATTCAACTCACTCATTAAGACAACTCATTAAAAAAGTTTCATATTTAAAAAAAAGTCGATTATTTCATTTTTGCAATCATTTAATATTTCTACATTCAAATGTTATATTTAAACTTAACATTTATGCACAATCCTTCTATGAATTTTGTTGATAGTGATTTCATTTGATTGTTAATAGCCAGCATGTCTTTTTATTTGATTGAATGTATTGATTAAATAAGAACCTGACATAAGAGGACACAGATATGACGATAAATTTTATAATACTATTAAGCCAACGTCTCTGGCTTTTTATTTTATTTATTTATTGCTCAAAGTTATTTCAGGGTTTTGATCCCTCAACTGAGAGAACACATCCTGTTTATTATATTATAATGAGTATTTAATATTACATTTACACTTTGACTATAGCCTAGACATTTAGCAAATTAATTGTACTATTTATGAACCTCAAAGCGTATGTTTGTGTATTTTGTGTTACTCCATAATGATGTTCTATTTGAGGGCATTTGTAGTGTACGTATAGGGCCCAAACATAACCTCAAGCCCAGGGGCCCCCGCCCCCCTAAGTCCTGCCCTGAGTATAGTACTAAGTCATTTAATATATATTTCAATGGAACACATGAATAAATTATATTATTAATATTATAAATGGTATTGGCAAATAGTTTTTTTTAACATATACCTAACTAAATAAAAATTAAGTTAATCATTTATTCATTTATTTTAAAGATTTTTTTATTCTATTCTTAAAACAAGATAAAAAAAAATGGTTTGCCAATGGGGTAAGAAAAATAAAGATAATATTCTCTGAAAATAAGACTTGCAATTGTCTCATCAGCACCACACACTTAAATTATTATAATATTAACGTTAAAAATGGTATTGCAAAAAATGCGTTTTATTTATTTAGTTTAAACTGAAGTACTAAAATAACTATAATAAAATTAAACTAAAACTATATAGACATTTTAAAAAACATTGTTAAAAATACAAAGCAAAATCAGTAAAACATTAAAAAAAAAAAAAAAATCTTATTCAAGATATAAACAAAAACTATAATAGTATGTCAGTGATACTAAAATAACACTGATTACAGATGCATTGCACAAGATTTACAGGCAAATCGTGCATAATTAAGAGTGGTTAATTTCTGCACATTTGGCTGGATTGCTTTTATTTATCAATTTTGAACCACAATTATGATCACATGTACTGAAATGTAGACTTCAGTTTTCAAGAAGTATGTTTGTGTTTTTGCATTCCACTGCACTGCTTTTCTGTTGTTTTTGTATATAAAAATACAAAAAACATACATCATAAAAATGCTAAATTCATGTAATTTTCA